CGAATTGCTTGTTTGGTAATGTATGCCTGCTTCTAAATAAAGATCATTTAACTTCTTCACTACCCACTTGTTGTGTTTTCATTGCTTCTGAATCTTCTAAAAAGAACCCTTGCCTTTGGCAAGACACAGACTAAGGACGTTCCGGCACCGGGAATTCTTCTGCGCCGTCGGAGGTTCCTACGTGAAGTCGCGCTCAGGCGAGACCTGCGCGTGGAACGGACCTTCCCGCGCCAAGATGCGCTGCGTGCATTGTTGTAACGCCGGTTTCCGCGCGGATAGCGCGGTGGTCTTCGGTGGGGACTCTTCCTGGACACCCAAACCCACCGTTCCGGCGTAGGGCAATCGGTAACATCCCGAAAGACGGGCTTTTCACAGGCGCCACAGAGATCCCGGGGAAGCGAGCCGCTTATCAGGGGTTTGGTCTCCATACGGAGCCAGGAAACGCCGCGGACTTTATAAGCCGTTCCTGACACGTGCTACGCGCCGCGCAGGCGCGCTCCAGATCCCCCGTGTCTTTTGAAGGGCGCGCCATCCACTGCAAAGAGGACCCCGTGCTTCGTCAACGCGTCACGCGGTGGACCGTGGCTCTACGGTCTCTGCGTCCAGGCCCGCCCCACTGCATTATTTCCGCCCCTTGTCACGTGCAGGGGAAGACCGTCACGGCTCTCCCGCATCTGCCGCAGCCTTTGAAGTCGCTTCCGCTTCCGGCCTTCTGCGGACTGTCGTTTCGGTTGGCGGGGGTGTTCCCCTTCCTCCTCGTCCTTTCGGCGAGGCAGGGAAGGGGACGGGTGCGTCTCGGGCGGCGGAGCCCCTGCGCGGAGGCTCTCCTGGCTCCGTTTCATTCCCAGGGCAGAAGCCGAGAGGAAGACGTCGGTGAGCGAGGCTGCCGTTGGGCCTTTAAGATGCGGGCGGGCTTGGGAAAGAAAGCGCGGCGGGGCTCCGGATAGAGAGGCGGCTGTCGCGTTCTGCGCTTCCCAACGTTATGCGCCCGGTTGCCTCGGCGCGCCGCTAATTGCCATTCTGCGCGAGGTGGAACCTTAGCCTTTGCCCCGGTGGCACTGCTGGATGAAAGAGGTGTGCCACGTCCGGGAGGCTGAGAAATGTCGCCACCGCAGGCGTGCGGGGTGCAAATCGGTCCCATGCGGATACCTCCAGGCTCCCACGCGAGCTGTTGGTAGTCATTGCTAACCCAGGTCTCATCCCTCCGATATACAGTGGGGCAAAAAAGTATTTAGTCAGCCACCAATTGTGCAAGTTCTCCCACTTAAAAAGATGAGAGAGGCCTGTAATTTTCATCATAGGTATACCTCAACTATGAGAGACCCACTTAAAAAGATGAGAGAGGCCTGTAATTTTCATCATAGGTATACCTCAACTATGAGAGACCCACTTAAAAAGATGAGAGAGGCCTGTAATTTTCATCATAGGTATACCTCAACTATGAGAGACCCACTTAAAAAGATGAGAGAGGCCTGTAATTTTCATCATAGGTATACCTCAACTATGAGAGACCCACTTAAAAAGATGAGAGAGGCCTGTAATTTTCATCATAGGTATACCTCAACTATGAGAGACCCACTTAAAAAGATGAGAGAGGCCTGTAATTTTCATCATAGGTATACCTCAACTATGAGAGACCCACTTAAAAAGATGAGAGAGGCCTGTAATTTTCATCATAGGTATACCTCAACTATGAGAGACCCACTTAAAAAGATGAGAGAGGCCTGTAATTTTCATCATAGGTATACCTCAACTATGAGAGACCCACTTAAAAAGATGAGAGAGGCCTGTAATTTTCATCATAGGTATACCTCAACTATGAGAGACCCACTTAAAAAGATGAGAGAGGCCTGTAATTTTCATCATAGGTATACCTCAACTATGAGAGACCCACTTAAAAAGATGAGAGAGGCCTGTAATTTTCATCATAGGTATACCTCAACTATGAGAGACCCACTTAAAAAGATGAGAGAGGCCTGTAATTTTCATCATAGGTATACCTCAACTATGAGAGACCATCTTTTTAAGTGGGAGAACTTGCACAATTGGTGGCTGACTAAATACTTTTTTGCCCCACTGTAAGTTAACTGCCTTCAAAAGTGCCTCAGCGCGGTCTTAAAAATAAACCGTGTGTGCATCCCCACCTGGTTCAGCTTGGGTAAAAGTCAGCTGTTTGTGGATCCTCCTAATTTTTATGTGAAACCACTAGGAAATCAAAGGTCATATCCTGAATTACTACAATCTCAGAGCCATAATTTTGCGCTGTGGCAGCACCAAAACTAGTTGGAACTAATGTGTAGGTATTTCTGTTTTTTAAAACGGGATACTGTACTCCTGAAATGACAGTGAAATCATAGATGCGCCAGTTTATGTGGAATGAACTGTTCAGTCAGAAATGGTTAAGAATGTCATAGTGAAGAACTTGTATCTGAGACACTGATTTGAATGCTTTTTTATATGGGATCCACCATGAAATCACAGATTTAATGTCAGTGTCCTGTCACTGTGTCCTAAACCATTATTTGTTCACTGAATCATTCTAACTAATAGCAGAAGACTCCTGTTAGAGCATAGTGCCTTAGGGTGGCTCTGTACTGTTCCTCTGCCTCTGTTGATTAGGCCTGATGGTGAGCTAGTTGGTTGTGTTTGTGTTTTGACTGCAGCTTCCTATTGAATCCTAATCAGTTAAATCCTAATTACTTTACTGTCTTCCAGTTGGACTGCAAAAGCCTGAATGTAAGAATGGGAATACCTCAATTTTAATTTGAAAACATTTCTTGATTATTAGAAAATACAGAAACATTGCACCAAGAGAGTGTTTTTGTAATTTACACTTAATTTTTAAGAGTATCCATAATATTGTTACAAAGCTGAACTCAGAACAACACAAACTGTGTGTATAGCAGTTCAGAAACAGGCAGGATAGCTAGCATTCAGGTTTTCTTTTTATTTGGTATTAATGTTATTGTCAAAATATCTGTCATCCTTTGATATCAATACTTTGGATTTTTAAGGGCCTTATTGGTAAATATGTGGAACTAGTTTACACTTATGTGATTATTACTTGATAACTGTGAAACAATTGATGTCCGTGTGACTTGGCTCTATTTGTATTGCTTCATATTTATACAGGTAGTCCTCACTTAAGAATGGTAATTGGGACTGGAATTTCTGTCGCTAAACAACGGAGTCGTAAAGTGCAATATCACATGCCCACACTGCTTAGCGACGGAAGTTCTGGCACTTCTGATTGCTATTGTTAAGCGAATCCCACGCTGTTGTTAAGCATGACATCATGTGGTCGCAATTTGCAATCTGCTGCTGGCTTCCCCATTGACTTTACTTGTTGGAAGCTGGCAGTGAAGGTCACAAATGGCGGTCATGTGACTGCAGGATTCTGCAACCACTGTAAGTTTGAGGACTGGTCACAGGTACCACTGGTTCAGCACCATTGTAAGTTTGAATGGTCATTAAGCGAGGACCACCTGGTATATGAATCTAACTTTCATTTCCTGGAAGAAAAAATAATCTTTACAGTAACCCTCAGGATATAATTGTAGGGGAATGATATAATTCTTAAAGAGAAAGGAAGCTCCAGGCTGATTTTGAAGCAATATTGGTGTTATTGTCCATGCCACAGTTTCTAAGGCAAATTAGAATCTATTCTATTAGCCTTCAATCTATTAGTCAAATTAATTAAGGAAATTCTTTGGTAGCAGGCCATACTATTGCCAATGGTTAAAGCGGTTGAATCTAATATTGTATCTGTTGTGGGGAAAGCTCCTTTAACTTTATGCCTATGTGCTCTCTCCCGTTTATAGTGGAAATTAGAGCAGTGGGGAAACTAGCTATAGGATAAAGCTTTGAAGATTTTTAAGAATAAAGTTTGTGTCAAGAAGTACTTGCTTGGCATTACTTAAGCTGCAAAGTTTACATTCTAGTAGAAGTATCAAAGCTTTAAATTATTTACAAACTTTTCTTGTTCTCAGTAATATTGGTAAACTGTGAGTATTTAAAATAATTTCTTGGCTGTTCTGCCTTAGATTGGAGCATTCTTCAGTTTTGGGAAGAGATCTCACCTGACTGGGTGGCCATGTAAATTGATTAAATAAATAAAATGAAGTTCAGCAAATTCATGCTTCTCTTTCTCAACAATATTTTTATTCATTATTCTGCCAAAATTGCAGCTAATAGGAGTTATATAGTAGATAGTCAATTTAGAAGAACAGGAAGGAGCATTATAAGTTGATGATATAAAGGAAAAATATCTTTCCTATTTTCTGAAGTCTTCTCTTGCTTCTGTGTAGCTTGGCTTATACTTCTATGTAATGAGATCTGTTTTGTATAAATGTGAGAAGTGTGAGACCTTCTGCTTTCTTTGAGCAGTCCGTACTTTAGTTAGAAGATAGTTTAACATAGCTTAATGAAATGTCTTTCCATGAAGAACTATTACACTTATTGATAATAGAGAGATTTCAGGCTTTTCTTTTTTTTTTACCATAGTTATAGTTTAAAATTCTAATGTACTTTTGAATATGAATATCGTAAATCAATGTGAAAAGAAAAAAACTACTCATGGGCAGATTAATGTTTAATGACGTTGTAGACCTCTCTTCTGACAGTAGTGTGAAACAGTGACTGTGTTCAAACATCACTCTAAGTTAGTGCTTTCCAACCTGTGTACCTGAGATCACTGTGTGTCTGAGAAAGAGAAATGTGTTTTAAAATTTTAATGGTTTAAATCTTATGAGATCACTACATTTTGGTTGAAATACTGCAAGGTCACAGAATACAGAACTCTTGAGATTTGGTAATCTCAAAAGTGTTTGATGATTAGAAACAAATATTTAATTTTGCAGTCCTATAAATGCCATTCAGAGAGGATGTCTGTGACTGCTATGGTGCCACAGGTGCAGTATTGTCAGGTTCCTGGCTTATGTGGCAATTCTACAGTGCTGTGAGCTTGGACCATATTTTCTTGTGCAGCAGCCGATAAAATCTAGATCTGGGGAACAGAGTATGTGGCCCTCCAGATGTTGCTAATTGCATTCCCAGCAGCCCTAGCCAATATGCCCAGAAACATCATTCCCTGGTATAGAGGCTGAGAATAGTGTCTTTGACAAGACTACAGTTTTTTTTATTTTATATATATATAAAATTTGTCACCACCCATCTCATTGAAACGACTCTGGGCGATTTACAAAACAGTTAAAATCAATTAAAATTGCAAAATTATAATCTACTATTAATAAATAGAAAATAAATAGATCCAAGAATAATTGGCAGTCACTCAGGGCGCATCATCAAGGTGCCAGCCACCCCCAGGATTGGATAAGATTGTTATCATCCCACGTAAATTGGAACAGCCAGGTCTTTAATCCTGTCTGGAAGGCTGGGAGGGTAGGGGCCTGCCGCATCTCTGGGGGGAGAATGTTCCAAAGGACGGGGGCAACGGCAGAGAAGCCTCTCCTCCTGGGTCCCGCCAGTTCTCAAGCATCTTTAGGGCACCCGAGTTGGTGTGGAGCTGGAAAGAACCTAGTCCCTGAATTTGAGAGAGAAACATCCAATACCTTCGCAAAGTGGTTTTTTCGCTCCCCAAAAATACGAACCACAAGTACTTCAAGCAAAGTAAACCTTCCCAAGAAAACTGCAGGGACTTGTCTGGGCAATCTCCAAGAATCGGAC